GCTTGCCCAGAAATCTGGAGGCAGTATCACCTAACGGTGAGTAGAAACACCTTTTTTATTTTCCCCAAGACCCAGCCTATTTACCCTTCTCCGAACTGCTGACCATAAAATATAGACAAGCATCTTCTGCTGGAAGATAATAAATATCTAAAGAATTTTTGTACTGAGAAAGCAATAATATGCTTTTTTTCCTTCTCCCCTGCCCACTAACCTGTCCTGTTCTTAAAAGATTTTGATTATTTGTTATTACTCACATCATTTGATGATTACATCATGGTATTTCTAAGTCTTCTTTGACTCTATTCATTATATTAAAGGGGGAAAGTATGCTGGAAGCCATAAAAAAATGACAATAATCAGTGTCTTTAAAATATTACATCATCCACAGTCCATAAGCATACAGTGCACAGTATCTTCCATTATCATTTTTCTGCCTTTACTGAAATATGTACACATTTATCAAATGAAGCTAGAAAAGGCCCAGGGTACCTTTCATATAGCACAATTTAACTGTCCTATGTTTTAAGCCCTTCTTGACATATTTGAAAAGTGTGAATATCTGCATAATACCATTCAGGTTTTCAATTTTCTAGTTTAGAAGCAGAAAACATAGTCACCATAGAATCCAGTTGGCTAATCCAATTGGTTCAATATTATAAAGTTAGTTTACTTTTACTGTTCAGCTTAAATAATTGCACTGATTTACCAAAGCCCTGCTGGTCATTTTTAATATATTAAATGTGTTGTACTAAGCAAGGGACAAGTTTCTTTTAGTTGTAAAGTTATGTAATACATACTAATTAATAGTTGTTAAAAGTTTAGTGTATTAAAAAGGTTTTGTTTATAGAAAGCAAGTCATAAAAAGAGAGAAGGCAAAGATTTTGTACCACTTATAAAAAATAAATAATAAACCAACCTAGGTATACTCATACTACCATTTTGTCATGAGCCCAAGAAGCCAGGAATAATTATCAAGTGGTTTGTTTTTTCAGATTTTGTTATCTCCATTTAATTTATTTGAAGAGCTTAAGTAGGAAACTGTAATTCCTCTGCTCTCCCCAAAATACTAAATAGATTATTGTTAAAATCTTCTGTGTTAATGCTAAAAGATACATACTCATATATGCACGCACACATTACAGATGTAACTCATCTGATTACATTGTTTGTGTTCATGTAGCAGTTTATTTATTCTCACATAGCATGGTGAAGTTCTTATAGCCTAAACTTGGTTAGAATTTGATCTCTAGTACTTTTCAAGATCAAAGAGCTGCTCTTTGTAACCACATAGCAATATTTTTCATCATTATTTGTATTAAGTAATGTCCTAAGAAATTTGACATTACATTTCTTTTTTAGCTTTTCCCCTAATTTAGAGAATTCCAATTTTGAAAATTTGAAGTGTGGAAAGTACTCAATCTTAAAGCCACTCTTTTACATAACTAACAATGAGCCTGTAAAAATTGGTTTCAGGTATAACAGAAATATTGAAGGTCTGTTTAATACTTTAGCTTTTTAGAAACATTGCATAAAGAATTTTGGGGATAAAAAATAAAAACAAAATGAATTTGCCTTTTGTGGAATATAATATATTCTATCTGTGGTTATAATAAATTCAGTTTGAGAACTTAATTTGTCCCAATGTGGAATCCTGTTTAATTTTTCAAAATAATATTAAAGTAACCATCACAATTTATTATTATCAAGTTTTAGTAAATAATAAGTTTACTGTGCAAGTATAAATGTATCACTTCTGTGCTTATAGACCTGTGCATTATTTATCAGTTCACATGTAAAATAAAAGTTAAATTATTTAACTATAGTTATTTGAATTTTTATAAGTGTAGGGGTAATATTTGAATCTTTGCAATTAAGCATATTCAGTTTTGGATAAAAGCAAGATACGTGCTGATTTTAGTCCTCTTCAGCTCTTTTACTAGGCGATGGACTGCCATCTATTGACTAATAGTAGCCCTCACACATGACTGTGGCATCAGAGCAATGGCCAAGTAATAAACTAGGGTTAGAATTGCTACTGTATTTTCTTTTAAACCAGTCTGCAAAAACTGGAACTTTCTACATTTAATCATGGATTAATTTCTTTTATAACCAAAAAGTGTTTATTTTATACCCCAGGTGAACTGCGCTTTTGAGGGGAGAAGTTGATTAATATGTCCCAGTTTGGAAATGTTTACATTTGCGAGCTTTCAGTTGGTTTTATCTGCCTTTCAACCAGTAAGACTAGAAGGTCGTTTACAGAACAATTTCTGTTTTAGCCACTACAAATTGAGGTCTTTCTAGGAATCATTTTCTTAAAAAAAAAAGAAAGAAAAAAGAAAGAAAGAAAAAGGAATTCCAGAGATTAAGCAGAATATTATTTTTCAAACACATAAGATGATGAAGTTGATCAATATAAATGGATTTGTGAAATGTTACAAATCAAAAATTTTAAAAATAAATTCTGAAGTAAGAAGAAACTTATGGCAAAGAAGTATTCAATATTTTCAGCAAATTCATGAGAATTAAAATGAAGTCTCTTTAACAACTTGTATCTAAATAGAATAGCTTTCTAACCAAACTTAACTTCACTACACTAGTAAAAACTAAGGCCATCTTTCTAAAGGGACCATGTCAATAAAACTCTAAAATACATTCATCCATTCGTGCGTGTCTGTCTCTCTCTGTCTCTCTCTCTCTCTCTCTCTCTCTCTCTCTCTCTCTCTCTCTCTCTCTCTGTCTCTCTCTCTCTCTCTATTTATCTCTCTCTATCTATCTCTCACACACACATATACATCATAACAACTATGGTAATATTTTCTTAATATATTTTAGTGGCTATAAAATCATGTGTAATTGAATGTCTTTTGAATTATTGGTTTAGAGAACTACTTGGGAAGAAGAAAAATTGTTTTATCTAGCAATTACATGATTTACTCAAATAGTTAATTTTTTACTTTCTCCAAAAATATGTTTAGAAAATTCTTTAAATCTTTTAATAGTATAGCCCTATTTTTATTTTTTAATTTCTGCTTTATTTTTTGATTTTTGGTAAAGTCTGACTTTAAATATTCTTTTCCTCTTTCAAATATTTTATTCCAGATAAAAAAATTTCCCTTGTTATTCAAGAAGGAAAGTCCCTTCCCCCAACCCCTGTCATTTCTACTCTCATTTATATTAAAAATCCTAGACCAATATGGCCACCAACAGAGTTTTAAAACCAACAGAATTTTTAACTAGTAGAGGCTGTAATTTGACATGGCTTGGACATTTTGTTAATCTTGTTTTTAATCTACTTACTTAAAAAAGTAACCAGGAGTTTGCTCTTTGGAGGCTGTATGTATTAAGAACCAAAAAGGACAATGTGTCTTTTATGTTTAATTTTGCGCTTGGATTTCTTTGTGTGCATTGTTAAAATGTATTATAACCTTCCTACCTTCTTTTTAACCAAAAGTTTAAGGAGAAAGCTAATGTAACTTTTTTATGAGAATTAAGTTTTACACGTAAGTTTATAATTTTTGGAATGTTTAGTATTCACACTTCAAAAAATTAAAATATTTGTTGTCAGGGAAATGGGAAAGAATCGAGAAATTAGTTTCCATGCCTTCCTTTCTGACTTAGGAAAAGCTTATGACCAGAGTTTACTAGTGACCAATGGTAGTCTTACCTGAACTATTTGAATTTCAGAGTCTATCTTCTGGACCATAGTTAACAATGTTCCATTTCACTTTGCCACTCAGTTTTCTCTCCTTACCTGGAAACATCAATTTAGAAATGTATTTTCTGAGTTCTTATAGCATGAGAATGTTTTCACATTATGAGTTTTACACTAAATGAGAATTTTATCCTCTAATGAATTCTATGCCATACCAGAGTGGGTATCCCTAAATGTCAACAGATTGGAATTTACTTTAGAATTCTGTTTTATAGTCCAGAAGAAAGGAATAAAAAGGTGGATATAGATTTGGATCTCAAGGCTATAATTATACAAAAATCTTTATCCTTGGATTGTGATAGGTGGATAACAAATTTCTAACTGCCTAATGCTGAAATTGAATATTTTTCTTTCAAAGTAACTTAAAATGAAAAATAAATAGTTTGAAAAAGTCAGTCTCAAGCCAGAATCTTTTCTTCTCATGGGGGAAAAAAAAAAAAAGTTTTCTGTTTTAATTGGATATATGCTGGGAATCCTAAATATCTTTCTGAGAGCTCCTTGGCTACATAAACAGACCTGCAAAACCCTATCCACACAACTTATATCATTTGTCTTTCTCTTTTCATGTTTTTATATGTAAATGTATGTGAGACAGTGTGCAGGAGTATGTGTATTTAAGAAAATAGAACTGGTTGCATTAAAAAAAAAAAAAAAATGTTAACTCCAGAATAGAGTGAGGCCTAGATCTTACTCTGTTTTGGAATTTTTCAAAACATTTTTTCTTTGTACTATTTTTTGAGACCTGACATATAGGTTATCATAAACTAATACTTTATAAATTCCTTTTGGAAGCTATTATTTTGGTAATTCAGTTTGTTTTGCCAAAGTTCAAGAACCAAAAATACTCTTGCATAAATTGGTCTTCTTTTCCTCTATACATCTGGTATGGCTCTTACAGTGTTTTGATTTACCAAGCATTGGGACATGACATCTCTGTCAAGTTTTCATATATTTGATTTTTATTAAAAATACCCTGGGCTGGGGCTGGGGCTCAGTGGTAACATACTTGCCTGGCATGTGTGAGACACTGGGTTTGATTCTCAGCACCATGTATATATAAATAAAAATAAGGATCTATCAACAACGAAAAGATTTTTTTTAAAATTTTTTTAAACAAATAAATAAATAAAAATACCCTAATGGTCAAACACTACCAAGGCATTGACTGTGCTCTCATGATTGAGAATGCACATGTCTCTTTTATATTATCTCAGGGCTATCTTTTCATTATAGTACTACAAAATCAATCAGATTGCTTTATCTTCTTAGTTACTTGCTGTTTTGAGTAACAGGATTTTTTTTCTTTTGAGGGATACTAGGGAAT